CTCCCTGGAATGTCTCCCCCCTCTTCCTTGCTATTCCCACCTTTCACCTTCACCTCACTAACTCCTGATGTTGTGTAAGACTCAGCCAGTCATCACTTTCTGCAACCTTCCATGGCCCCCCATCCCCCATCACTGGATAGGTGCTGCTCCTCTCTGCATCCCTGATTCCCTGCGCATTTATCAGCACACTCACCACCATCTTTTGTCATCTCTTTATGGATCTGCATAGAGATCTGAGCTTTATGAGCAGGAAGTGCTCTCTTCACGTGATTCTTGGCCTCCCCTGGACTCACTCAGAGACACACAGACTGTTGTTAAGTCAGTAAATGCCTACTGCTCTCAGTTCAGAGTGTCTACCTTCTGACTTGCAGTTTGGCACGTATTTGAAATCACTGTGGTTTTCTCAGTCCTCAGTATCTTAGCATGCACGTCAAATCTCTTCCAGTCGGTGGTCATGAGTCTCTAGTCCGTCAGTTCTAGCTGCTTCGAAGGACAACGTCTCTGTGTCTTTGAGGGCCTCCTCCTCAAAGCCAGTTTCGTGTATACCACATAACCTGATAAACTATCCCAAACCCACCCCCAGCCCACGTTTAGTAAAAATCTACAGAGCCATTTTTATAAATTACAGAAACTTCAATTTTATTTATATAGGCTTGTTTTATAAACCCAGTGTCGAGTACAGTGCCTTGTATGTAGTAGCTTCTTGGTAAAATGTGTGAATGAATGAATCAAGTTAATGATGTGGTAGTGACTGTGCCTGGTTATAACATTTATAACTCTTAGAGAAGAATGTTCAATTTTCTATGAGATTATATTGAAGTTACTCTAGAGTCTTATTGTGCTGTAACTGCTAAGCATGGAGTTAAGAACCTTTAGGTCTCTCTGATCCCATCCACAATAAATAGGGTGTCATCATTGTGTATTTACATCTACAGTGTGAACCATACTATAGTTTGAACAAAACCCAGTAGTGAGAAAAGAAGGGGCCAAATGAGTAGTCTGTAAGTTAAACCTAAGAATAGCTTTAAGATGGGTAAATTTCCATGCCTTGACTATTTTGTTATCAGAAGAATTCCTTGGTTGTACAGCATTCTCATCCCTGATGGGAAATTGGGTCTTCTCAGAATTCATTCACCTCTGCTGTAGTCCCACAGCATCACTGAGAATGAAGATGCTCAGTAAATACCCAGTGCAGTGTCTGTGATCTAAGATAAGTAAGAATTGCAAGGCTTTGATAAAGGACTCGTTTCCCTACAGCAAAGGACAGCTAATAGTAATATTGTTATATTACTAACAAAAATGCAGATCGATTCATTCATCCAAGAAATTCTTGCCTACCAAATATGTATGTGGCACTGTGGGACATTACATTACCCAGTAGAAGTAAGATATCATTTTTCAAAAATTAATACAAAGTAGAAAGTGATGATTGAAAAAGAGAAATTTGTTTAACTGGCCTATTAATTACATATAGCATTTAGTTTTCAGAGCATTTTAATGGATAAAATTTTATTTGACCATCACAACTACCAAATTAGATTAGACCTTTATTACCTTCCCAGTTTTACAAATATGCTAAAGTAAGTACGTTGACACTGACACTATACAAGTTTTATTTTTATGCTTTTCTTTTATGTAGCTTTTTATAATCAGAGAAGCATGAGAAAAATCATAAAATCTTGTCATATTTAACCTGGATAGATTCTCCATTGGAAAAGATTTGAGACAAAACTAAGAGAAAACGGAGAGAGGTTTTGCAACTTCATAATACAAATGCACAGAGAAAAGATACGGTGTTAGGACCTCTACTGACTTTTTTCTTTGTCTATAGCTGTTAGGATAATTACTACATATTCTGGCTTCAGTGTTTGCACTTAATGAGACCTACAATAAAAGTATGAGATAACTGATATACCTCTTTGTAAGCATTGGTACAGCGTTTAGTCACACAGATGACAGTTTTATGACTTGTATGTTGTAAATATGACATAGGAATTAAATGTCTTGCTTTAAAGATGGTTTGTTTAAGTCAGTTAGGTAGTATTTTCTGGTAAATTGATTCACAACTGCTTTTAAAATGTTTATTTTCTTTGGACCTATAAACCGTAGACATTAGGACTGTAATGAAACATTAGGCTGGTAATGAAAAACACAGGTCGTGCCCTTCATTTACAGAACTATGGAGGATACAAACATATTAAAAGGCAACTATAAAAGCCTTAAAAACTATATTAGCAAATTTAATCTAGCACTATATAAATAAGAGGAATATATTGTGACTAAGTGGTGTTTACCCTGACTAGGCACCGTTAGTCCAACCCTGTAAAAACCAATTAATATAATTCACCCTATTAACAGAATAAATAAGGGAAGTCTTATGACCATCTTAATAGATGCAGAAAAATCATTTTAAAAAATTCAATATCCATTCATGAGTTAAAAAAAAAAATCCTAGGAGTAGAAAGGGACTTCTTCAAGAAAAAAGATTATCTACGAAAAACCTACAGGTAACATCATACTTCATGGTGAAAGACTAAATGCTTTCCCCCTAAAATTGGGAACAAGACAAGAATACCTGCTTTACCACTCCTATTTGACATTGTGCTGCAGGTTCTAGCCAGTGCAGTAAGGTAAGAAAAAGAAATAAAACTGCGTATATTGACATAAGATGCAGTTGTCTTTTGTGACAGAAGTAACCCAAAAGAATTTACAAGAGAAGTTACTAAAACTGAGTTTAGCAAGATCATAGGACATAAGATCAGTGTACAGAAATCGATCAACCTTCACGTTTAGAGATTCTTATACCATAGTTTCACCATATTGTTAACAATTATTTTGTATAATTCCTACAAGCAGGTATGCTGGATGACTTTAAATCTTACTCAGATAAAGGCCTTTACTCCAAAAAAAACAATCATCAAAAACGTTGAAAAATTAGGTGTAAATCTGTAGAGATTTGTATGCTAAAAACTACCAAACACTGATGAAAGAAATCAGAGAAGTCCTAAATAAGTGGTGCGAAAGACTCAGTATTTTTAAGATGTCACTTCTCCCTAAATTGATTTACAGATTCAAAGCAATCCTAATCGAACTCCCATCTGGAGTTCTGGTAGAAATTGATAAACAGATTCTAAAATTTATATGGAAAAGCAAAGGAACTAGACTAGCCAAAACAATTTTGAAAAAGTTGGAAGAGCCGTGCTATCTGATTTCAAGATAAAGCAGTGGTTCTCAGCTAGGGATGATTTTGCCCCCTCTCTCCCAGGGAACATTTGGCTGTGTCTGGAAAGGTTTTTTAATGTCACAATTTGGGAAAAGGGGGAAGGGTGGTGCTACTGCTACTGGCATCTAGTGGGTAAAGGCTAAGAATGCTGCTAGACATCCTGTAATGCATAGGACGGCCCCCCAGTAAAAAGAGTTATCTGACCCAAAATATTGTTCATGTCACTGTGGAGAAACCCTTCTATAAAGCTACAGTAGTGATCAAGACAGTGTGATACTGGCACAAAGACAGACACATCTATCAATGGAACAAAGTAGAGAAGCCAGAAATAGACCCACACACGTATGGTCAGTTGATTTTTGACAAAAATTCAAAGGCACTTCAATGGTGAAAGGACCGTCTTTCATCAAGTGGTGTTGGAACAACTGGACATTCATACGGGAAAAATAAGTTGACCTGTACTTTACACTGTATTCTAGGATCAAAGGATCCTAGACTTAAATATGAAATATAAAACTATAAAACTTCTGGAAGAAAACATAGGAGATAATCTTTGTGAACTTGATAAAGATCTCTTAGATGTAATGTATAAAGCACAATCCAGAAAATAAAAACTTGAAAAATGGAGCTTCACCAAAATTTAAAACATCTGCTCTTCACAAGACACTGTTAAGAAAATCCAGAGACAGGCTACAGATTGGGAGAAAATTATAAATCACTTTTATGCAAAATATATAAAGAAATCTCAAAACCCAATAATAAGAAAATAACCCAATAGAAGAAGAGTGAGGAAAAGATTTGAAAAGGTACTTCACCCAAGCTATATAGATGACAAATAAGCACATGAAGTTTACTCAACCTCATTAATGAAACCCTACTCCAATGGGCTTAAATAAAGGTCGAATAAATTGACTCCCATTAGTAAATTCCACAGAGGATTGACAAATCAATCTGATTGTTTAACAAAGTGGTAAAAGATACAGTTACTTTGGAAGGGAGGAGGAGCTCTCCACTCTGTTAATAGGGCAGACAGGCCCCTGGCTGGCCATGGGATGTCCAGTCTGCTGAGAGCATCTGTCCCAGCATTCCCAGCAAGGGTCCTAAAATTCACCCTGATTGGCCAGTTTAGGTCACATGATGAAGCAGTGATTCATCATGATTCATCATGATAGATTCATGATGATAGATTTATGCTGGTTAGTTTAAACCTGAGGCACCTGTCCCAGCCCTTGAGTCATAGTGTTAGCTTCTTCCAAAGTTCAAGGGCTTTAATGGAGGCAGGGTGACTGCGCAAACTTAAGCAGATAGAAATTTTGAAAGGAAAAGGGAAAGAATGTTGGTGAGGCTGGCGTAGTGCCTACCACACTCCATTACTGAATTGCTCTAAGATGTTTAAATTGGTTTGAAGTCATGCTTAGTGGCTTTCCATGTCTCAGCATTGTCATTGTTCCTCAGAAAGGAAGAAAGTCTAAATTATATTTAGAAAAAGAAAACTAAGAACAAAAATTGAGAGCCTGTGTGAAACCATCAATTTCAATTTTTTTCCATGCATTTAACTATTACACAGTTACACAATGTGACCCTTCGTTTCTGTTTGTAAACATGTTTGGAAAATAGCTCATTAAAAAAAAGAAACATGGAAGTTAGTGTTTAAAAATATTACATATTTTGAAATTTTCTTCCTGGCCGTCTTAACCGTTTATGTATTCTGCAAGGAACACAATGCTAATTTCCCTGTAACACTCTTTCCTGGCCGGGGGCCTTCTTCTTTGATCAGGATGTGCTCATGGAGCTCCTGGAACAGTGTGCAGACGGACTCTGGAAGGCCGAGCGCTATGAGCTGATCGCCGACATTTATAAGCTCATCATCCCCATCTACGAGAAGCGGAGGGATTTTGAGGTATCTGAGTGGTTTGTTTTCTCCCGTTTGAGAGGACAGTGGAGTGACACACATCCCTAGACATTCTTATACGCAGAAAGCGCAAGCAGGCCATTTGAGCAATGACCTCTGACCCGCCATGTGACACTGGCGGTTGCCACCCTCAGAGCCATCAGGTGTCACACCTCTACCCAGACCTCAAATCTCAAACGACAAGGGGTGGGAATTCTGGCACTCCACCTCTTAGCTAAGGAATGGAGTAGGAAAAGCGAAGACTGCAAACGTCATCAGAGGACTGAATGGGCTTACTGCACTGGAAATCCAGTGGGTCTTCAATATGCAGGATGGCCCTTTGGGTAGAAAACAAAACAGTTGGATAATGATCACTACCAGTTGTGCTGTCAAAATTCATTCTTGATTTTTTTTTTGAAACTCAAGTCCAACGAATTTTCACCTATATAGTATCATTTCATTGTTATTTTAAAATAATTCTACTAGTTGCAAGTGGGAAGAAATGGGGTTTGTTCTGCTTTCCAGAGGCTGGCCCATCTGTATGACACACTGCACCGAGCCTACAGCAAGGTGACCGAGGTCATGCACTCAGGCCGAAGGCTTCTGGGGACATACTTCCGAGTAGGCTTCTTCGGACAGGTGAGCCTCCTCTCTGTTCTCTAGGCCGTCCCAAGTCCTTTTTTTCTTGTTTAAACTCTATATACAAAGTGGTATTTTGTAAATTTTCTGTTTTCTCGAAATGCTAATTTGATGAATTTGTCATGTTTAGTATGGTTCTTATCTTCCTCAGTAGTAAACTTTCTGCCTTTTTTTCTTTCTTCCTGTCTTTTTATTACTTTCTTAAGGCAGCGGTAAGTTCTCCTTCCATAAGATATTCTTAGCGGCATCTTTGGTACCTCAGTGTGGTTTGCAAGTTTCCTTTTCAAGTCTGTATGTATATCTGTCCAGTCATTACAAACTCCAAAACAAAATTAACATTTTATTCCATTTACAGAAACAAATCACCTGTTCCCTTACACGTCTATACTGCATGTTTTAAACCAAAATTAAGACTTTGTGGTTTCCTTTGTCCCTGTGCTTCTCTATCTTTTATAATACAATATCTCTGCAAGTAGATTTACCATTGTAATATTTCAGAAACCCTTTAGAAAAGGGGTCATTTAAATTTAACTGAAAGTTTAACCTCCAATTCTCTAACATGATTAAATAGTATAAATTACAATCCATTTATTCAGGGTGTGTGGTTTTCTATGAGCATTATATAACCTTCAATTTATCCTGTTATTTATTGTCTTTTATAACTTTATAGCAATACCAGTTTACAGACAGTGAAACAGATGTGGAGGTAATTACAGTAAATACATAAAAAGCAAGTAATGTAGTGAAATTACTGCATCTAAACTCCTAGTTTGATGTGGGTGTTTTTTGTTTCATGTTAGCCTGCGTTTTTTCTTTTATATACTGTGTTTTTTGCACCATTTTCTCTCTTTCATTTTAGATGAGAAAATTTTTTTTTAATTTATTTCAAATATTAACCCAGTCTGGGCTTTTTAGTTTTCAACCTTTTTCACTTCCCACGCAATACTTCGCCTTCTTGTATCGAGACATGATTGGTGCTAAAACAGATGATGACTGGTGATAACGAAAATATTTCCTGATCTTATGCTACAGCCCTTTAATATTTGCCTCATCAGGAAGACAAAACATAATTTACACCAACTTCACATAACTTTTGCCAGACCAGAATGCTTCCTTTTATGCCGTAAAATCCCAAGTAAACGGCAGAGATCAGGAGAAGCGTTTCTGAGGCCTGCAGATAGCAGGCTGCTGAGTCATGTCTTAGTGAGTTCTGCTCCTTGGGAATGTGAAACAGGCTTGAATCCCATGATTAGACTTCACCGAGGGGACACAGTCTTGAATCCCCAATCTTTCATTTCCCTCAACACTTAACGACAGCATTCTTGGATGAGTTTGCAATTTTGTGTTTCGCCTTTACCTTGCACCCAGACCTCACATTATTATCATTTTCCTTCCTATTCGGAAAGCCTGATTTTGTTTTTAGAATCATTCCCTTTTTTGTTGTTGTTAACTCCTGTAACAAAAGAATCCTTCCTGGGTGGTAAGCCTTGGGCTTATATTTGGGGATAGCTCTAATTGTGCTTTATGTCACAGGGATTCTTTGAAGATGAAGATGGAAAGGAGTATATCTACAAGGAACCCAAACTCACGCCTCTGTCAGAAATTTCTCAGAGACTCCTTAAACTTTACTCAGATAAATTTGGTTCTGAAAACGTCAAAATGATACAAGATTCTGGCAAGGTATGACTATGCTTGGAAACATATTATAGCAATATAATATTTTTTTTTATGTATGATTGATCATATATTATATATTTATAAATGTGGTAGAAAAAAGAAGACCCAGAAAAAAGTCAGGAATGGTTGGCCTTGAGTGGCAGGTGTATTTTTTTTCTTAATACTTTTCTGTGCGTCCCAGGTGTCTTTCATTAAGCAAACCTTTATTTCATAATTTTAAAGATATTATTTTACAAAATAATTAACATCTGAAAGGATGTACTGTTTTTAGTCCCGCTATTTAGAAACTCTGTAGGAGTAGGGTCCTAGGTTCTGTTTGTCTTTGTAGTTTTTCCTTGCACTTAGCACAGTGCCTGGCATGTTACTTGACACTCTGACTGATTGTCTGATATAGGGACAGATGGGTGGGCAGACAGAGAGACCAAGGAATGAACTAATTAGCCAGCACATTTGTAGGAATGAGATCTACTTTCTACTTGGAGAGGCTGTCCTCTGCTGTATCGCTCTCATGGAAACCCTTTCTGAACGTACACGTTTTTCCTATATGTTTATGTGTTCCACTGTCTTCAGGACATCTCCCGAGAGATGGGATCCCTTTGTTTCCGGAAACTCAGGCCAAGATAGAACTTCTGTTCTTTGCATTAAAAATGCTTCTCCTGGGCTTCCCTGGTGGCGCAGTGGTTTGGAGTCCGCCTGCCGATGCAAGGGACACGGGTTCGTGCCCGGGTCCGGGAAGATCCCGCATGGCGCGGAGCGGCTGGGCCCGTGAGCCATGGCCGCTGAGCCTGCGCGTCCGGAGCCTGTGCTCCGCAACGGGAGAGGCCACGACAGTGAGAGGCCTGCGTACTGCAAAAAAAAAAAAAAAAAAAAATGCTTCTCCTGCTCAGTTTCCAGCAGCAATAAACTCTACCTTTTTCTCAGTTCATTCTTTTGGAGGATCCTTCGTTCATTTTTTGGGGGCCTGAGCCCTGCTTTGGAGTCCCCAGTGTCTGGAATCTGTTTCCTTGGGGCCCTTCATTTTCTCCAGAGAAGACTCTTCCAGTCTCCTGCCCAGGTGGTAGGGAGGGGACAAGGGAGGGGGAAATAATTCTGAATTCTGGAGGCAGGGGATGAGCAAGGGTGAAGGTCCGACATCCGGCTTGCAGCCTTTCACCTGCCCTCCCTGCATCCTGCTCTGTTCCTTGCCCCTGCTTTCTGCTGAGACTGGTGAACCCACTTAGACTCTTTCCAGACCGGTTTCTCCAAGGAACGGTCTCTTCTCTCTTGTGGGGCTGGAACTAGGGAAGGGAACCCAGGGTTCTGCCACCTCACATAGACTTTGGGCCACTTGCCACCCCACACATCTCCTGGTCACCAAAACCCTGGTCCTCTACAGATGCCAGTCTGTTCAGGCTCCATAACAGATACCATAGACTGGTTGACTTATAAACAACAGAAGTTTATTTCTCACAGTTTTGGAGGCTGGGAAGTCCAAGGTCAAGGCACCGGCAGATTCGGTGTCAGGTGAGGTTCTTCTAACTGCTTCACAGACTGCTGTCTTACTGCCGGGTCCTCACATGGAGGAAGGGGTGAAGGAGCTCTGTGGGGTCCCTTTTATAAAGGCACTAATCCCATTCATGAAGGCTCTACCCTTCTGACCTAATCACCTCCTGCCTCCTAATACCATCACATTGAAGGTTAATATTTCTGCAGGAGAATTTTGGGGGAACACAGACGTTAAGTATATCACAACAGGCTTTTGTGGGGTGATCTGACTCCCCTGTTGTTGCCCCTCTCCATGGGAACTTGGGTTAGAACTTTCTCTCCCAAGTCAGGAAGTACATCTCCATGCACCTGCCTTCCAGATATTCATTAAATTCATCCACTGCCGTTCTGTCCTCTCTTCTTGGTCCTTGCTGGTTAATTCTATACTGTCATTTTAATAGAGTTGCGCAAAGGAAAAGGGACAAACGTACAACGTACGTTGTTGGTCCATTTTTAGCTAGAAACCTCAACACAACCTCATTAAGACCTACTTCCTTTCTAGACCAAATCACTCAGGTCCAGCTTGCCTTTTTCTCTGAAACCAAAACCTTTGTCTGGGTCAGGTTGTGGCTTTAACCTTAACAGCCTCCTGTCAAGGTTCTCACGCATTGGCTCTTCTTGCCCTTTTGATATGTGGTCCTTGATGCAGCAGCTGAAAGACGCCCTAGACCTTCTTCTCTTCCTCAAACACCAGTCCTTTACTCCTGCTGCTGATGCACACATACAAGTTTGAAAGTGAAAACTAAAACACCGCTGAAATATAGGCAAGAATGGTCATTTCCTCTGCTTTTAAATTGTTTCTGCTAAAGAAAGTTAAGTCTAAGAGGTTTGAATACAATTATAGTGATTGGCCAGATGGCCTTTTCTAAAAGAAAAGTAACTCATGACTATGTATTTTCTGAACTTGTAGAGTTTAAGGCACTTGCACATCTGTTTTTCATGTTTCTTCACACACGTCTCTGTTAAGAGAACAGTGGTGCATGATTGGGACCAGTAAACCCATCTTGATCTCAGTTGTTTGCCCTCATTCCAGGATCGTCTCCAAATTCTCTGTATGGTCATTTCTTTCATGTCCCCTTTTATTGCTGTAGAAGCTTAAAAACAATATGTGCAAAGTAGATTTGTCTCCCTAATAAATTAACTTTTTTTTTGTATGGAAAGTGCCTATGTTTAATTTTCTAGCATGTCACAGAAGTTAGAGCACCGCGAGGTCTAGCCGTGTAGTTTTAAAAGCGTTCATGTGCTGAGTCTGTCAGGAACTAAATTTATAATCTGAGCAGTCTTAGATTAGTCTGTACCTGTATTAAATTAATTCATCTACATCTGTTTATATCTAATCTATCTACAGATTAACTATGATTTGGGGACCTAGGCTTTAAACATTGTTAGTAAAATAAACATTTTTGTCTCTAAGCCAAATATGTAAAAATATGGCTTAGAAAATAATCAGAGGAATCCAGACGGGGAGTCATTCCACACAAAAACTAGCATGATGTCTTCAAAAAAGTCAATGTCATGGAAAAAAAATAGTCTAGATTAAACAAGACTAAGGAGACAAAACTAAATGTAAAATGCAATCATTGATTAGATTCTGGTTCAAACACAAATAGCTATAAATAATATTCTGGGACATTTGAGAAATTCATCTCAACTTGGTATATTTGGCACTATTACGAAATTAGTGTTAATTTTGTTACATATGATGATGTATTGTGGTTATGGAGGAGAATATCCTCATGTTTAGGAGATGCCGCCTCAAGTGTCATGATGTGAGCCACTTACTTTGAAATGTTTCAGCTAAAAAAAAGTCTACATATACGTGTGTGTTTGAATAGACACATATAAACAAATATAGCAAAGTATTAGCAATTGTTCTCAGTGGTGGGTATATGGGTGTTCATTATACTATTTTTTTTCAAACTTTTCTGAAATTTCCCAAAACTTTTACTAATACGAAGTGGAAAAACACAGCTTCGGCATGCTTGGGAGGAGTCCTTTCAATAGCCATAGCAATATTCCATTTCCTTTATGCATTTAAAGGTCAACCCGAAGGATCTGGATTCCAAGTATGCGTATATCCAGGTGACTCATGTGATCCCATTCTTTGATGAGAAGGAATTGCAAGAAAGAAAAACGGAGTTTGAAAGATCTCACAACATTCGCCGCTTCATGTTTGAGATGCCCTTCACCCAGACTGGGAAAAGGCAGGGAGGCGTCGAAGAGCAGTGCAAACGGCGCACCATACTGACAGGTACAGTCTTCCTGGCCCCTTTCTTTAAGAATCACACCCAGACATCAGCCCAGATGTCAAGATAAAGAGCCCTCCAGAAGGGACCCAGAAGCATCTAGAATTGGAAGGGCCCTTCAAGCTGCGTTAACTTTCCTTACATATCCATTTCAGCTTAACGTGTATCTAATGCTTGCTTTCGAATACTCATGACATTTTTCTATTTACCTGTTTGTATTTTATTCTTCCACCAGACCAGAAGTTCATACCCAATGTCAGGTAGCTTACCCTTTTCAGAATCTGGTGAAGACAGCTCAGAATGCTTTTGCACACAATTTCAAGTGATTTGCAGACTCTGTAGACCCGTGGCCCCCCCAGGTCAAGAACCCCCGCACACAGTGCTGCATCTGTGTCATGGGAACAGACCCCTTACACACCAGCATGAGCCTGCTCAGAGATTCTAGGTGGGGTGAATAAATGGGACATGAGGCTGGACCCCACTCACCTAGTCTCTGAGTGGCTGGCCACCTTCAGCTTGGGCACTTCCAGTACCAGGAAGCTCACTGCATTCACAGGCGGCCCATTCAGCTGTGCCGGAGTTTTAATGGATCCTTTGGTACTGCTTAGCCATTGATCACCCACCCCCAGAACTATGCTGTGCATCATCTCCCTGTTCCTGACAAGTGTAGAGTCATCTTGGGAGTGATTTCTACCTTCTTTAGGGGAGCTTGACGCCATCGCTCTTAGGGTTAGGGTCAGCAAATGACGGGTAACCTGAAATAAAACGCTTTCTTGACTTAAAAAAAATTGGTGAGGAGGCTATTGAGAATGCCAGTTGTGTCTGTCTCTGCTGTTGAAGCCCAGTTTTCAAAGAGTGGCCACACTTAAGTCGAACCTGGAAAGCACCCGCTGCTTGTCCAGCAGTCGATGCTGTCAAGTGTGCCGCCTGGGCGGGAGCAGGGATCATTGTAGTAGTTAGTGAAAGGAGCACTGTGATGGTGGCATGTTTCAGGTGAGGCTCCACCCTCGCCAGTGGACAGTACACTTTAAATGGGTGAACTGTGTGGTGTGTGATTTATGTCTCAGTAAAGCTGTTGCCAAGGAAAGAATATGGTTCATTATGAAATAGCTCAGAACAGCATATTGCACAGGATTTTTCACCATTCTTATGAGGGAACTGAGATAAAAATTAAAATACAAAAAAAAACCACCCCAAAACCCTACATTCTTAAAGAAGGAGTCTCTGCTCCCGCTTTTAGAATAATAAGATAACATGTAAGGCACAAACAATATTGGCCTCTAAAACGTTAACCCCTCCCCATAGGTAAATGAATTGTTTTTCTAATGGACACAGTAGCAAGTTCTTACTAAGCAAAATAACTGCATTTCTAGGTGGAGTCATTTGATGAGAATTACCAGCTTACCGCATTTATCTCTACAGCTGTGATGACCTCAAATCAGTGCTTATCAAAGGTTGTTTGTGGGAATATCAGCAGCATCAGCATCACCTGGGAACTTGTTAGAAATGCAGATTCTTGGGCTCCACCCAGACCTTCTGGATCGAGGACTCTTGGGGTGGGGCCCAGATGGTTGTGTTTAACCAAGCCTTCCAGGTGATTCTGATGCCACCCAAGTTTGAGAACTGCTGATTTAAATAAACCTAGCTCACTGATGAGTCAAGATCAGGATTTTTTATTATGATTATTCTGCTCAGGTAGCATACTGATTCATAAACAGTTACCATGAGGTGCTTTCCCTGGCCAGTTATGTCACAGAAATAGTTTTGATTAGATAACGGGCTAGAGCAAAGCTCTGTACCTGCCAGAGCAGAGGGGACAAAGAGTAACCCCACTGCAGAGAGAAGCAAAGTAGACACAGGGGCTGTTGGCTTGGGAAACAACCACCTTGAGAAGGTGTGGGCAGTGCAGAGCCTGGGCCTGGGTCCTATAGACCCAGTCACATCCTCACTGTGTGACCTTGGGCAGGTCACTTAACCTCGCTGCACTTAGTTTTTCATCTGTAAAAAGAGATTTGTACTATCCATCTGGTGTCAAAGAATTTTGTAAATTATGCCCAGGTGTGGAAAGAATGTACTTCATTTTGCCACATCTCAGCCACCATTGAGCTCCTTGCCTTTTGAGGTTGGTGAGGAGTGAAAGGAGATTATAACACAACACAGCACCAAAGAGGGGTGCAGTTTTTGCCCTGAAAGATTCTCAGAATTTCATAAAGATAATTACTGGGTAGTGTAAAGATTTAGAGAAGGGGTTATAAAAATGCTATTAAGAGCCTATAAACTACATCCACCTTCAGTTAAAGACACACAGACCAGGATATTCTGAAGACTTTGAATTTGAGAGTTTTCCCTTGTGTTATTAATCCCTTAGGTTCTTCTTCCACTGCATTGCTTCAGAGCTGACCTTTGGCCTTCTAAGTTGTCAGGGAGCCCCTGCCCCCTGAACCCAGACTGGCTCACTTTCCTGGATAGTTTAGTCAGTTAGCTGCAGTTGTGGAATCCTTTGAAAAACCTAATGATTGCCCTCCAGGCCCCCTCGGTGTAAATTTCTGAGCCTGCCTCCCTACGTGATTCCCCCTGTTCCTTCTTTCGTGGAACTCATTCCATGGAGTTTCTTCCCGGTCACTGTTCCAAAGTCTTCCAAATCATGTCCAGGCTCCTACTCAGGTTGGAAGTATCCTCCCGCCCCTCACCCTCTGTTCGGTCCAGCCAGACCGTACACCCACCCACGCTTCTCAGCCATCTCTCCCTCGTCCTCCTGCCTGAAGGGCTACAGATCACTGGTGTGGGGCGTTGATTAATAACACGGTGGCTCACTCAGTCCACCACCTAATTTTCCACCTTCCAGGCCAGTTTGCTCTTTCATTTAGCCATTTGGGCAGTAACACATTCTTCAGCTAAATTCATTGAGCACAGGCAATGTTCCAACTTGGCGTATCAGCAAAACAGAGCTCTCTGGTTGTGCAGCTTAGACTCTAGCAGGAGGAGGCAGATGGTAAACAGTAAATATAATGGGTAAATGTATCTGTGTTGCAAGGTCATACACGTTCTGGACAAAAGCAAAGGGGGTTGGAATTGTGGGGTTGGGGGCAGGGGGGCTGCAGTTTAATGGCGTGGCCAGGGTAGGTTTCACTGACAGTCCAGACTTGAAGGAGTTGAGGGAGTGGGCCCTGCACATGTCTGGAGGGAGAAGGCGCCGTCGGGGCAGAGGCCAGCGGCAGGGGTCCCTGTGCCCGGCACATTCAGGGCACGACCAGCAGGCAGGCATGGCTGGAGCTGAGTGAGCCCCAGTGAGAGGAGAGATGAGGCCTGCAAGGAAGGCAGGGGCCAGGGCAGTCCCAGATTGCGTGGACCGGGGAGGCTCACGCACAGACGGGAGTTTCCTGTATCATCACACCCCTACTTTGCCTCGTTGACTCTCCAGTTAACCATCGTAAGGAGCAGTGACTCAGGACTTATTTGGCTGAGTGAAATCAGCGCAATGTGCACATCTCACAGACACTGTTGGAGTTGGTTTTTCTCTCTGAAATAATGGCGCTACCGCACTGTGGCACTCAAAAACACTGTGATAACACTAATCTCGTGTGTTTGGACATGGCTGTTAGCCTCATGAAACGTGTGTCCTGACAAGTGAGAATGCAGTGGCCCTCCCCTGTGTAAAGCGTGTCAGTCTATCACGTGCGAGCTCACCTCTGGCCGGAGGGCCGTGTTCTGTCTCCCTGGCTGATAAACAGCAGCATCTAGTTCTTGTCATGTATCAAAGGAGCCTTCAGTCCGGAGAGGACTTATCAATCCCAGCGTTGCCACTTAAAAACTCTGTGTCCACAAGGAGCACAGAAGAAATAGTAGACACAGACCCTTGGCCTTAGATTGATAAAACATGTAGCGACTAGAATAGGCCTGTAAGTGTGTGACAAACAAGGTTGCATCACGTTGAATGTCTTTTCCAGCCTTGTTCAGACTCTGGGTAACCCAAGGGAACTCTGTGTTTTGCAGGGAGCCGGGCTTTCTCATTTTGTGATCAGTCCTTTTTGAGTAAACCCTCCCCAGCCACTTAGTAAATAGTAAAGAATCCAAACATAACACTCCATCTTACTTTAGCTTGTTAAAAAATAAAATAAGCTTTTAAGCATATGTCTACCTGTTTATTCATAAATATATATTAAATAAGAATATTATAGATTTTTACATATACCATACAAGCAATAAGGTAGAAATGTAAAACAGTACCGAACTGGAACCAGTTATTTTTCTGTTCTTTTTTTTTTATATAAATTTATTTTATTTTATGTGTTTATTTTTGGCTGCGTTGGGTCTTTCTTGCGGTACACACGCAGCCTTCTCATTGCGGTGGCTTCTCTTGTTGCGGAGCACGGGCTCCAGGTGCACGGGCTCAGTAGTTGTGGCTCGCAGGCTCTAGAGCTCAGGCTCAGTAGTTGTGGCGCACGGGCTTAATTGCTCTGCAGCATGTGGGATCTTCCCAGACCACAGCTCGAACCCGTGTACCCTGCGTTGGTAGGCAGATTCTTAACCACTGTGCGTCCGGGAAAACCTTTCTGTTCTTCTTTAAATGAACTGTTTGGTGTTGTTATGTTCAGGTGTCTTATTATAAGAAAGGAAAACAATATCGAGTGGCGCCTTTTTTGGTAAAAAAAAAAAAAAGTGAGAAAAATTAAATATTTTTATTTAATGTTTTTGAATCATTTAAAAGTTTTAAAATACCTTTATTATTATGCAACTCAAAGAGTTTGTGAATTTCTGCTTCATAAAATACTTTGCTTGGAAATATATTCTCATGTTATTTTTCATTGATTTCTCTGGCCGTACAAACTTAAGCATGTGATTCAAAGTTGTTCTATGGCTCAAGCATATTTCTATGGAACTCTTTTCTGGACTTAATTTATTATAGGATATCTCAAAACTGTTTATTTGGTCTTTTTTATATTTGCAAAGCCATCTTATACCTACTAGCTCATTCAGCTCTCATAATTTCCAAGGAAGTAGTGCCTTTATGGGTGAGAAAATTGAGCAGGGAATGAGAAGGTGATTTCTTCAAAGACAAACTTCTCATATTAAAGTTGACAAGAACCCAACTCTCTTGACTTTATGTGATGCCTGTCATGCACAATGATGAACGAGGACAGTATTCTGGTTCCACGAAATACTGGCACGTGACCTAGGCAAGCTCTGGGTCCCTTATCTGTAGAATGGGAGTAACGATCACTTCTCCCTCGGTACTAGTGAAGCACGTGCAAGCTGTGGACTCATTCTAGGCCGTGTTCCTCCACAGCCATACACTGCTTCCCTTACGTGAAGAAGCGGATCCCCGTCATGTACCAGCACCACACGGACCTGAACCCCATCGAGGTGGCCATTGACGAGATGAGTAAGAAGGTGGCCGAGCTCCGGCAGCTGTGCTCCTCGGCCGAAGTGGACATGATCAAACTGCAGCTCAAACTCCAGGGCAGTGTGAGCGTCCAGGTGAGCCGGGCGCCGGACCAAGCAAACCACAGGGCAACAGAGAACGGATCCTTAGACCTTGGAAAATTTTAGGTCGTTCACACCAGCAAGGTCCAGTGTAGATCCCTGGCTTTATCAGGTGATCCCTGTTACCTCCCTTCAATATTTGTGCAGTTTCTCCTGATGCCAGAGGGGTGGTAGCCTTGGGGCTACGAGAGTGTCATTCTCACCAAGTTGTCTGCCAGGGGTAGGAGATGGCTCTCCATACAACCTGGTTTTTCAATAATTTGAGGAATTCTGGGTGCCTAATTGGAAGCATAAAGACTCTTTTAAATATAAAGCAAGTGTGGATAGCTATAGGTTTTCTTATAAAACTATTGTTTTCTGGTTTCTATGAAAATTGCACCTGAAAAAGTACATTAAGTTTCACTCTCTTAATGGTATCTTTTATTAACAAAATTATTCATTTTAATATAGCCCAGCTAATCAGTTTTTCCTTTATTTGTGTGTCCTCTTTAAGAAATCTGTGTCAGAGATATTCTATGTTTTCTTTGTTTAGATTCCTGTGTAGGTGTGCAATCTATCTGAATTGGTTTTTGTATGTGGTAGCATATAGGGGTCAAGACATTATTTTTCCTAGAGCTGTTCAAGTGATGTGTACCATTTATGGACAAAGTCATCCTGGATCTAGGTGCTGATTATACAAATATGTTCCGTTTGTGAAATTTTATCAAGCTAAACACTTATGATATATGCACCTTTATGTTTGTATAGTGCACTTCAATCATGGGGGTTTCTTTCAGGTATTTTACGTATATGATTTCCTAAGAAATTAGTAGATGTTAAATCACTCCCTCCGGGGACCAGCGTGCTCCTTGCTTTATTGGTGTTTTTAAATGTATATAAATAATCCTATCATCTGTTTTATGTATATATATTCCCATATCCAATTATTTTCTCTTTCTGGAAGGGTGTGTTTATGAAAGTTACATGTAGATTGTAATACGATGGTTTCATTTCCTGAAGTCAGTTTTTGTCAACTTTTTATCAGATCCACGCTGAGCTGTTACCTAACATTTTTCTAAATGTCTGTCATTCACGGCAAAAGTTTTCACAGATGTTTTCAGCCTCTTCCCTTATGGCCCAAAAGACTAATGTGCCAAAGTAAGTTATCAAGCGAATATGATAAATATTCCAGCCACATGATGGAGTAGATAATGGGCCAGAGGCCAGAATTTTCTGCAGCTTAAAACAAAACCTGGCCTGGGAACATCCAGCCTCTATCTAAGGCCAGTGGAAGAGTGTGTGTGCCAGTAAGGGATGGGGCTGGACAGGTCTAGCCTTCTAAAGGGCAAGATGTGCCCTGCCATTTGATAGTGACCTTGAGGGGTTTTGTTTTTTTATTTTTTATACAGCAGGTTCTTATTAGTTATCTATTTAATGCATATTAGTGTATACATGTCAATCCCAATCTCCCAGTTCATCCCACCACCACCACCACCCACCCCACTTTCCCCACTTGGTGTCCGTATGTTTGTTCTCTACATCTGTGTCTCTATTTCTGCCCTGCAAACCGGTTCGTCTGTACCGTTTTTCTAGATTCCACATATATGTGTTAATATACGATATTTGTTTTTCTCTTTCTGACTTACTTCAGTCCGTATGACAGTCTCTAGGAGTGACCTTAGAGTTTTATAAATGCCCCATCATCTTTAAAAGCAGAGAATTCCATGATGAAATGAGGAGATTAAGTTTATACACGTGCACCCTCCAGGGTAACAACAAAGCTGGAGTCAGGGGAAATGAACTTTATTGTTTTATTTGTGTGTTTCTTTAATGCTTCCACCAAGAGCCTCTGGGCTTGCTGTTGTACAGGATAGAGCCATCAGGTGGCTCCGGGATTCTGCACTCCACTCCAAGATCTTGTCATGCTGGACTTCATGAAGTCTCATCAGCTTCCCTTCTGCATCCTCTTGAAACTGAACATATGGATCGTTTTGGATAATCCTTCATTTGGGTTACCTTTAGGTTGTCAACAGAGCTCTCCACACATATCCAGTCATCACCAAGGGTTAGCTAGTTGTCCCTGTCTCAGAGGGCCCCGCCTCTAATGTCTGTGCCCCCCGTCTCCCCACCTCTGGTGTGAATTCTCTCGGCTCAGTTACTGTGCAAGTCCTGTACACTGTGGACCAGGACCACGGCCCGTCCCCTTCACCGACAGCCACAGACGAGACAGACAGCCCTCCCTACTTACCTTCCAAGTCCACCAGGCCTCCCAGGAAAAATCGTGCATTAATCACATGGTCAGGACCTTTCCCGAGATGTCTCAGGTGCCTGGAACTTTCTCCTTCCCATCCAGTGTGTCTAACCTTCTTTCTCTCAACACTCCCACGTTTCCTGACTTACCCAACCTCGGCGAACTCTTCTTGGTGAATTAAAGGAGACATGCAGGGCTCTGGTTCACTCATCCTGTTGCTAAATGCCCCAGATCTTTGTCTTTCCAGCCCACCTGAATGGTTAGTTCATTTGAGGATAGCAGATCAGCTTGCCCATGGCTATCTACACAATTCCATGAGGTGAACAGTTGGTTTTTTAAAACTGGCTCGTATGCTTAATTTTTCAGTTTTCATTGCACTCGCCAGATTGACCTCTTAGTTCAGTGTCATGTAGCACAAATACCAGTTGGAGGACTTGAGCTCTGACCTCAGGTGTTTTGCTTATTGGCTATTGGACCTTGAACGGGTCCTTAAGTTTTCCAAGCATTGGTTCTTCCTACATAAAATGAACCATCATCACAAGTGCCCTAAGGATGGCTGAGATGAGAAAATCAAATCGCTTATAACATCATGAGCTTTATCCATGGTTTCTTCTTTGGTGTCCTAAGTTCCTGGAGGGCAGAGGTCATGACTAACTCACTCAAGCGGCATTTTTAGCAAATGCCAACTGAAACTAAATTAATGATAATTGGTATTTTCTTCATAACGTAATTGAAGATCTTTGTTCTTTATCTAGGTCAATGCCGGTCCACTAGCGTATGCCCGAGCTTTCTTAGACGACACAAACACAAAGAGATATCCTGACAATAAAGTGAAGTTGCTTAAAGAAGTTTTCAGGTAAAGCACACGGGAAATGTCTCTTTGTCTTCGAGTCTTGGTCATTTCTGTGCTCACTCAAGAAGGAGGCCCTGCCCGCTGGACTCATCCTGTGTCCTGTGCGTGCCTTGACCCCCCTCCCACCCCGTTCCAGGCAATTTGTGGAAGCTTGCGGTCAAGCCTTAGCAGTAAATGAACGGCTGATCAAAGAGGACCAGCTAGAGTATCAGGAGGAAATGAAGGCCAACTACAGGGAAATGACGAGAGAGCTTTCTGAAATCATGCACGAGCAGGTAGGTGCCACTCTGGAGTGCTTCTCATTGTTAGGGAGCACACATCAGTTGGGGTCTCAAGTGCCCCCAGTGATGGCCTAAACCCTCCGACATCCTTCCAGAATTTTGCTCTCTGAAGGATAGTGTAGCATGCTGCACTGCCGCTACTACCTAACCATGGGTACCTGGGGAGCAGCTAACATTGTGCTCACCCGTCATTGTCTAATATGACCAGAGGAGACCAGCACCCTCCTCCTCTTTATCACTTAATCTAGCTCAAAGACACCTCACATTAAAAAAAAATACCAATACCGTTCCTGGAAGCTTCTTTATTCACCCAATCCTTTGGAAGAATAGGGTTTACCAGCCTGGTTTAAGGAATTCTCTGTTGTAGTAAGTGTCTTTCACCATTTAAAGAGATAGGGTCGTTCAGTGTTTTACTGTTTACAGCTGACCTGGGTGCCCTCATGGGTTCCTCAAGGCTACTTCTTTATTCCTTGTCGTTGTGGGCAGCTTTCCTGATTACACTGCTACTGTCGTCTTCCTGTATGAATTCCTTTTGGTAGGATTACATATGTGGGCTCAGTGGTCATCAGGGGAGACAGCTGCCCAGGGAACTGAGTGAATCTCAAAGGCGATCATCTCCTATTGCTTCTGGAGGGGTCTGTTCTCCATCAACCACAGCGACTTCTTCTGAGTCACGGACTCAGTCTTCATGATTAGTGTTGGCACCTTGATAGCACACGACTGCTTCTGTCTGTTCCCTACGGTACTGTCTTTCATTCTCGCAAAATGGAAGCCAAGACCATTTGTGTCAGTTAACGTACCATGTGATGATTTAGTGAGAAGGATTCTGTTGTAGGAAACTCACTTAAATGTCTGAGCTTTAACTTGCTTTTTTCTCTCCTCCATGCTCACACGTTCAGATGGGATGGTAATGTCATTTTTTAATTTTATTTCTCTGGATCTTGATAACTGGCTCACATAAAGTTATTACTGAGTTTGGGCAACTGCAGACATTGACGTAATGACCATGCACGTGCAAAAAGAAGCCCTCTTCTGGGCATTTAGAAAAGTAGGAAAACAAAACTGAATAAACATGTGAATCATTAAGCAGAAAGAGAAGGTCTCATGGGAACAAGTTTTTGGAGAAAGCTCAAGGTCTTTTCCATGGGGCCTCCAGACAGGATGGAGAGCTTGGTCAGTGGGTGCCAGCACTTGGCACTAGAAAAGATGAAAGTAGGAAGAAAACTGTGGGCTGAGAATATTAAAATAAACTTCCAGATTGTATGGACACAATGCCATGCCGTGCTCTAAACTACACCTTGAACTTTCCATTATCTCAACAACTATGAAGATTAAACTTTGAACCCTTGAGCAAAAAGAGTCATGACCTGGAGTAGACTTGCTTTTGGATTTTCCAGGGGAGCCTCTGAGTGTGTATGTTCTTCTCAGTTTCCACCTGGCAATAGCCCAAGTCTTGCACTTAGAATTCTTCCCTGCATTACTGAGCGTGAAAGAGACTTGATCAGGGCCAGCGAGGCAGCCACACTCTTGCTCCCAGGGTAGAAATCTGTAAGACCCTAAGAGAAGGAGCTGGTAGAGAACACCGACGCTCCAGATTCAATTAAAAAAGACTTTTCCAGGGGACAAGGCCAGGTCATGTCCCCATCAAGTATGTGTAGGATAGGCCTCAAGGTGCCTTATAACCTGGTGAGGTTAGAAGACTCTCTACTCACTAACCTGGAAAGGAAACAAAACATGTTGTTCTTGACTTTCTCCTTAAAATCCTGATCTGAAAAACGTCATTTATGAGGTGAGCTAACACGCTCCCTCTGCAAACCACCAAAGCCAAGCTCTCTGAGGGCACCACCACTCACAGTAACAGTGGCCACTGGATGATAAATGTGAGAAGTGTCATTTGGAGCAGTTTACGCTTGGGTAACCTTGTGTTTCTGTACCTCGAGATTTGCCCCCTGGAGGAGAAGACCAGCGTTTTGCCGAATTCCCTTCACATCTTCAACGCCATCAGTGGGACCCCAACAAGCACGCTGGTTCACGGCATGACCAGCTCGTCCTCCGTGGTGTGACGTCATCTCGTGGACCGCGTGTGGGGACTTGCTTTGTCATTTGCAAACTCAGGATGATCTCCAAAGCTACTCACTGGGCACATGCCAAGGCCCGGGGAAGCGGAGCCCAAGGAGCAGTCGAGGGGAACGCGCGAGAAGGGAAAGAAAGAGCCGCGTTATTTCATAGCAGATGTTCTGCAGGGTCGTAGGAGAGCACACATATTTTTTTAAACCTTGCTGGCAATAGTCAACATTTTCATTATGTCTTAACAGAGGTATGTGGCGGACACTCTTAAGCTGGAGTTAAATTTTATTCTTCCTTACAGAGTAGTATTAAAAATAAACGGCCTGGAGAAAACAAGTATTCTGGAATGTACATAGCACTGAAATCGAGGCTGGGGTAACCTTTTGCCTCTAGGCTAAGCTGGAAAATCTTGAAAATATTTTTTTTTTCCTGTGGCACATTCAGGTTGAATACAAGAACTATTTTTGTGACTAGTTTTTGATGACCTAAGGGAACTGACCATTGTAATTTTTGTACCAGTGAACCCGGAGGTTTAGTGCTTTTATACTCATTTACTTGCATTTAAAAAATATGAAAGCTTAAGAAACTATGTGAGCTTAAGACTAGTCAAGCAGTTTAGAACCAAAGGCCTGTATTAATAAACACAACTATGCTAAACATTTAAAGTAGTACAGTATACTGTTATGTACATAGAGTTTGTTAATACAGTCTTGGCATTGTGTACATACACGTATGACGTTTCTACATTTTTAATACATCAGCTTCCGCATAAAGTTTAATTGTGACAGATTTGTGTTGTTCTTAGTATATGCAACACACTTGACTTTACTGTTTTATTCTTGTACATAAAAAAAGTGCAATATGGAGATGTATACAGTCTTTGCTATGTTAGGTTTATAAACTGTTTTAAAAATTTCATCCTTTTGCCAAAATGGTGGAGTATGTCATTGGTAAATCATAAATCCTGTGGTGAATAGTGATGTAATGTAAAGCTTTCACCATGTTATATTTTCTTTTCAGACATTAATTTAGTAATTTTATATTTGGGAAAAATAAAGGTTTTTAATTTTATTTAACTAGAATCTCTGCCCTGCTGTAATTAAACATTCTGTACCACAGCTGTATTAAAAATAACATTGCTGATTTTCTGGTAGTGAGTATTGGGTATTTATTGTCTGACAGTCCTAAGAGGGGCAGGATATTGAAATATTTGGGGGTGGAATAATGTGGTAAGAGAAATTTGCTTTAAAGTACCTAAGGGGGGAAAAAAAGAGGGTAGGTAGGTGACAAATGTTGGTAATTGTGGAAGCTGAGGCTGGGTACGTGGGAATCATTATACCCGTTCCTCTGCCTTTGTGCAAAGTTTCCATGGTACAGATTTCAAGAGGCAGGGCTAGGGTCCAGATCTTCCAGGGGATGTGGATAAATGCCTTGTTACACTGCAGTCTGGCTCTGAATTCTACTGGTTGTTCCCAAGTATACATAGACAAGTTAATACTTCTGTCTTTTCCTCTTCAACTCTACCAAGGTCTCCATCTTTATCATCTCCCTGCTTGCTTTGAAGGTGAGTACTCTGGGATAAGATGGTCATTTATCCCAGCAATGCATCAGCGGCCAGGTGTGCCCACACTGCCTGTGGCCTACATCATCATAAACACTGAAGCCGAGTCAAGTGATGCCTCAGACTGCAGGTGCTGGTCCTGCCTGTGGTGTGCCCAGGGACCCAGCGGAGGAGCCACTCAGCCCCAGAGTTCCAGTGATGGAAGAAAGAGGAGTCTTTCACAAGAAATAAAATAGCTGGTTTTCCTACTTGAAGAGTTTTGGAGGCTGTCTTTTTTCATAACCAGTTGAGGAAGGAAATCATGATGCTGTGTACATCCTGAGCACCCAGATACCAAGGATCTTATGGTGTCTTTGGAACTTCTCTATCAGTGGGCAAGGCTGTATTTTACAGATGGCGACAAGGTCATGAAGAAGAGATGGTGAGGAGTTACGACAACTCACCAGGCTGCAGCCCATTCATTAGTGGATCCAGACTTAGGGCTTGAGAAGATTCTCTGCATTTGCCCTGAGTCTCTGACATGTCGGCCCCGTGTAATAAACCTTGACTCTCCCTAACACCAGCAGGGATAGGTATAAGAGTTTGTCTCCCTTGTCACCGAGCTGGATTTCCTGGTCACAAATGCCTCATTTAGAAGCCATAAAATGCAGGTCATCGTGCAGTAAGATAAATGTATCTAGAAAGAGCTAACTTGCTACCTTGTGGTTAAACTTGGGAAGTAATTTGTACAGATTTCATGTCAGATAAGATTCAGCTTGGAAGGTGGCCAACCATCACTAATTACAACAGTGGAGAAAGGAACCATCTCTAAGATGAAGACATCTATTGACCCTGCACTGAAACACATTCATATCAATTAAAAACCTCATTTAGTTTATGCATAAAATTTTAATTTTGGTATAAATTACACATTAAAGTAGCAGTTTATTGGGGAAAATTGTGTTTTTTAACATTAAGAAATCTTTATTGCTAATTTTCAATAAATTTTTAAATGTTTTCCATAGATCTTATTTATTCTTTTTTTTTTATTGAGGTAAAATCTACATAACATGAAATTTACCATTTTAACCATTTTTAAATGTACAGTTCTGTGGCATTAAGTACATTCTTATTGTTGTGCAACCATCACCACCATTTATCTACAGAACTTTTTCATATTCCCAAACAAAAACTCTGTACTCATTAAACAAGAACTCCCTATTCCCCCTTTGGGAAAATTCTTTGAAGTAACTTTGGAATTAAAACACTATTCAGTACTTTATCAGGGATATTTGCCACCTGGGAACTAACTAACTCTAGGTAGTATACATAAATAAAGTCAGCCCCTTGCATGGAGAAAGCTGTTGAGAGTAGGGATGTGAAATTAAAAGGTGACTTATGTAATAATCATTGGGATTTACATAACCGTATGTCAGAGTTACTCAGTGTAGAAACTCTGTTCAAAAACATTTTGATTTCCATCAACAGGGGATTGTTTGCATAAACTATTGTACATCTACACAGTGACTCCACCGTGTAGCTATAAAAAGGGATTAATATCTCTGTTTACTGCTTTGGAGTGATCTTCAAGATACCATATGTACAAAACACAAGACAGAGAAAAGTGCAAATAGTGTGTTACTCATTATTTAAGAAAGGAGGGATAAGTAAGCAGAGATAATTGTTTTTTTTTAGATGGAAGGGAAAAATCAAAAAAGAAAAGTTTTAAGTTATTACCTACATGGGGAGAGAGGGAATAATACATAGGGGACAGAGTTAGAAGATTACCCTGTTCAAATATAATTTGCTTCATAGATTTGGCTCTAGAACCATGTGAATATTTACAAAATTATTAAAATAAATTTTTGATTCCTAAGAATTGAAAGCAAAATGAAATAAATCAGCATAACCACATATACAGCTGACGACACAAATACATAGGAATTATTTCAAATGACTTTAAAATACAGGAATTTCACTGTGCATCTCTAGTGACATGTACCCTAAGGACAAAAATAGTAGCAACAAATAAATAAATGATTGGTTAATAAACAAAAAACATTTTCAATAATTGTTTTGTTTTGTGGAAGTGGTGTTTTGTTTTTGTGAGATTATATTGTCATTCTGAGACTGCTGTGTGTTTACTGTTGGAGAAAGTAAATGAGTGATTATGTGGATATCATTAGGAACCAAGTTTTTGGCATGGGAGAAAAAAAAAGTTACATCTATAAGACAAAAATAGGTTAAATTAAAACCCTTTAGTTCTGAATTTGATATGGAGATATGAATTTGAACTCATCATATATTTATCTTAAATACACACTTATTTCCTCACTTGGTTAACTGAGAAGACTTAAAAACAATGACCAAGCCAGTAGCTAATGAGCACCTCTAAGTGCCCAAACTGTGGTCTCTAAATACCTTTCTGACCAAAACTATCCAGGCTCCATGGAGAATGGCTGATTCTAGATTTAGGGCAGAAAATGTCCAAGGTGAGTCTGGAGCGTCTTCTCATACCTGACTTCCATGGGACTGGCAAAGACACCACAGACCCTGTCAAGAGAATTTCAAGAAGCTCCTTCTAGGTAGATATGGGATGAACATAAACAAGAATAATAATAGCAGTGGGTTAAAATTATATAATTAAGTTCATGATGATACTAGAAAAATAAAGACTAGCAGCGATCGAAGGAGCTAATGTTACCAAGAAAGACGAAGAGGTGATACCTGCCTCATGATGGAAGTACACACCACCATCTATGGCGGAGTCTTGCCAAAAACTGTAACCTGAATCTGATCAAGTGTAAATCTAACCACCAATTCCCTGGGAAATACAGGACACAGAGGAGCATGTTAAATGACACCACGGGGAATGCAATCAGCAAAATCCAGTTCTGTGGGAAGCTCTGTAGAACAAACGATCTGATTTCTTCAGTAAATTTCAAGAAAAAAGAGATGGAGAGGGCACTTACATGTTAAAAGAAATTCAAGGTTCTCTTGATATGGTATATCTACTATGTAAAGTAGATAAACTTTTCCCTGTCCCTTCCACTAAATACAACTAAAAACCCTGGACATTATACATTAAAAAACAAACAAACATAAGAAGACTCAAAAGTAAAGTGAAGGAAGCAGACCAGCCAGCAACATTGGGACCCAAAGAACGATAACAGTGGTAAGCCCCCCAGTTTTTTTGTTTTTTTTAAAATTTTGTTCAAGCCTTTTTTTTTTCTTTTTAAGTTTATTTATTTAGGCTGCGTTGGATCTTCCTTGCTGCATGCGGGCTTTCTCTAGTTGCGGCGAGCAGGGGATACTCTTTGTTGCGGTGCGCAGGCTTCTCATTGCTGTGGCTTCTCGTTGCGGCGCACGGGCTCTAGGCATGCAGGTTTCAGTAGTTGTGGCACACGGGCTCAGTAGTTGTGGCTCGTGGGCTCTAGAGCACAGGCTCAGTAGTTGTGGTGCATGGGCTTAGTTGCTCTGCGGCATGTGGGATCCTCCCAGACCAGGGCTCAAACCCATGTCCCCTGCATTGACAGGTGGATTCTTAACCACTGCACCACCAGGGAAGTCCCCCAGTTTTCTTTATGCATCTTATATCCCATACTTGGAGCTGAAGAATTCAGCAGCAGGGAAATACCTACAGGCACAGACAAAAGAAGATCAACACCACTTCACGCTCATTATTATAGCTATTATCCAAAAAAAAAAAAAGTTTTGATAAGGATGTGAAGAAATTGAGACACCTGTGCATTGCTGTTAGGAATGTAAAATTGTACAGCTCTTGTGGAAGGTGGTATGATGGTCCCTCAAAAATTAAATATAAAATTACCATATGATCCAGCAATTCGATATGCCCAAAAGAATTGAAAGTACGTACTTGAACAGATATTTGTACACCTATGTTCATAGCATAGCATTTGTACACCTGTGTTCACAATAACCGAATGATGGAAGCAACCCAGGTATCCACTGATGAATGGATGGGTAAACAAAATGTGGTAAACAATACAACAGTATATTATGCTGCTTTAAAAGGAAGAAGATTCTAACACGTGCTACGACATGGATGAACCTTGAAGACATGCTCAGTGAAACAAGCTAGTCACAAAAGGACAAATCTTGCATGCTTCCACTTACATGAGGTCCTAGAGCAGTCAGATTTACACAGACAGAAAGTAGAAGGGTGATTGCCAGGGCCTGGGGGGATGGGAAATGGGGAGCTAGTGTTTAATCGGTACAGAGGTTCGGTACAGAGGTTCAGCTGGGTTGATGAAAATGTTGTGGGCTGGATGGTGGTGCTGGTGGCAAAATAGTATGAATATACTTTGTGGCACAGAACTGTACACCTTAAAACGGTAACTTTTATATGTATTTAACCACCGTTAAAAAAATAAACAGAAGCTGCTCTCTCTACCAGAGGAAAATGAAAAGGGCAGCGTAGCAAGACAGAAAATTTTTAGGCCACGGTGGCGCTACTACAGCCAACACCACAGGAAAAACATCCTAACCCACACCCACATCAGCAATGGCCAGGTGGGGAGCTAGACTCCCACCCTCTCTAGGCTGGAGCATGGGTCCAGCACACCTGCCAGGGTGGGATCAGAAGGCCCGAAGGGAGCCAGGACTCTCAGCCACGCTGGCCTAGCAAGAGTCCTGCCCCTGCGGTGCCCGTGGAGACCCCTGGGGAGCGTGGACTTGACAGCAAAAGCATGACCCATGAAAGGACAAATTGATAAATTGAATTTTAAAAGTAGAAGTAAAAACTTTCATTCTGAGAGGACTCTGTTAAGAGGATGAAACTATAAGCTACAGACTGGGAGAAAATATTTGCAAACCAATATATCCAACAAAGGACTAATATCTAGAATATATAAAGAACACTCAAAACTCACCAGAAAAAAATCAATCCAATTAGAACATGGGCCAAAGACTCGGATAAACATTTCACTGGGGAGGATAGCGACACGACCAAATGCTGGTGAGAGTGTAGAGAAACTGAATCACTTGTAAATTGCTGATGGGAAAGTAAATTGGCCAGTTTGGCGGTTCCTTAAGGAGCCATGTATGTGATCACTGTATGACCCAGGGATTGCACTCTTGGGTATTCGTCCCAGAGAAATGAAAATATTCATTCACACAGAAACCGTTACACAAATGTTTATAGCTGCTTTTTGTATAATAGGTCAACCTAGAAGCTCCTCAACAGACTGCGGCGCACCCAGGCCGTGGATGCTACTCAGCAGTAGAACGGAGTGAACTACAGGTGCATACAACACCTGTGACTCTCCAGGGACTGTGACGGGCGAGAAGAGCTCATCCCCAAGTTACATACGTATGATTCCATTCACATAACATTCTTGAAATGACAAAATTACAGAAATGGAGGGCAGTTAAGTGGTTGCAGGGGGTTAAAGAGGGGGTGGGATGGGAAGGAAGTGGGAGGCCGTGAGAGGGCAGCCTGAGGGATACCTGAGGCTGCGTGCTGCCCACCGTATCCTATCTCCTGCCCAGCCAGGTGCTCCTACTGCCAGGATGGCCTGTGTCGCCTTAAGGGGGTTGTTTGAGCCAAGACCGTGGCTGGCATCAAGCAGAGTGCATGTGGCACTTGAGCTCCACACTCAGAGTGACCGGGCTGTGCTTCGAGTTGGGGACACAAATGCTGTCAAATGTTTCAGTAAGTAAAGCAGGCCTCACAATGGTAGAAAAATGATGAAGTTGCCTTTTCCTGACTCTGGGCTGCTGCTTCATAATTATATCCGTGTCCCTATTCTCCTTGTCATCATTTCCTCATGGTGACGAGTCCAGTGGCGGGGGGGCGGTCCCCATGAGCACGGGCAGAGTTTGGATGCATGTTTGTCATTCTCTTGGCACTCGTATAGTTTGCAACCAACTCAGTGCGATCATGACCAAGCAAGTCTCTGGGTCATGCCAGCCTTGGGACAGAGCCTGAGAACTTGGCCTTGAGTCCTGTTGTGAACCACGCCATCCCCTTGGCTGTCATGCCCGTCATTTCCCATTCCCT